ATTTCTGCTTGTGATCCTAAAGAAATTTGACTTGAATTATTGCTTTCTGGTATTCTGATGGCAAGGATGGCTCTACAGTGGTACTATATGAAACTAGCATGTTCTTTTTCTGGTTTTAATGACCATGTTTGAAATTCAAATTTCAAATCTGTGGTCACCATTGCTTAAAAATTTTCGATCACAAGAAAATACTAACACACTTCCAAAGTGTCATCCATGAATAGTCTGAAGGTTTATAAATGATTACTTTCTCTATTGATTTTAAGAAAATGAAACCAAAAGCATAATATATTATGTCCTGATGCAAATTGTCCGAGCAGCACATATCATATTATCAATTAGATTCACAACATAATTGCATTCTCTGATTGAGTTATTTAGGGAAACATACCCTATTCTGTAACCTTCTCTCTGGTGATCATTGTGTTAAACATACCCTATTGTATAGATATATCCTCTCTAGTAATCATTGTGTTAAAGGGATACTATGTCTTAGAATGAACATCAAATTTAAAAATTTTAAACTTGGCCAATAAGAGCATATATTCATCAGTAGATATACCTGGTGTCATAAATAACATAACAGGATCCTTATATAATCCGATAAATCTAAAAAACTTAATAAAAATGCAATTAACTATTGAAAAACACTTAATTTTATGATTAAGCGTTTTTCAACAATTACTTAGTTTTATGAATTTTCCAATTTTCTAGATTTTACAGGAATTCCACACCAGGTATGTTCACTGATGAATATATACTCATATTGACCATTCTTGAGAATTAAATTTTATGTTCATTCTAAACATACCCTAATCACTGTGTTGAACATACTCTCTTCTATAACCTTCTCTCTGTTAATCATTGTGTTAAACATACCCTCTTCTATAACTTTCTCTCTGGCAATCATTGTTTTAAGTATACTTTCATCTCTAACCTTCTCTCTGGTAATCATTATGTTAAACATACCCTCTTCTATAACTTTCCTTCTTGTAATTCTGAAAAGTACTTGTAGCTGGTTAAGCAAATATTTAGACAACTGCATCCCTTTAATGAATTTTCATGACATCATCCCTTTAATTTTGTATAGTTTAAATTAATATGTAAAAATGACTGAAAAACCTAAATATTACATAATACAAAGATTGGAGTTATAGTTAACTGTTAGTGTTTAGGTCAATATATAACTATCCATGTAGAAAACACTGTGTATTTATTTATGTGATTATAAAATCATTTTGTCTGTTGACTGTTGATTTGCTGGTCTATTGACACTCGTCTGTCCACATTGACTTGTTTTAACTTCACATGTATTGCTACTTTAAATACTCAATCTGTTCATTCTTCAACTTGACTGTGGTTGCTAGGTGTTGAATATATTGATGGTTTGAAGGATCTATGGATTGTTGTGGGATTTTAAATGTGAATTAGGTTTCCAGGAAGGAAGTATTTGAATTCTCACATATTTACATGCCGAGGATGGATACTTCATTTAGAAAATGAAAGTAGAACTATCCGGTGGTTTAGATCAACTGGGTAGTTTTTTCTGTTAATCTTTGAATTTAACAATTCTGTTTCTGCAGTTGAATCTAAGGGTAGAGATCACATTAGATAACAGAGTATCATTTTATTGTATACTACATATATTTTTACCGTACACAAAATTTCAAAATTTTACATTGTCATCATCATTGTAATTTCACTTGATGATGATAATGTAAATTGTTGAAACGTGAAATTAATAACTTAGAGTAGTATACCATAATATTATTGTGTACTGGTACATTAAAACTCAACAACAACATTCCATAAACTTGTGTCCTCTTTTCAAAATGTGTTGTGATGTTTTCCTTTTAAAATCATAATTTATGAAATATTATTGGCTAAATAAATTTATTTCAAAATATATATAGATAGTTTTGATGATCATATCAAACAAAACATGTTTAATGTTTCATTGTCAAAAAATATATTTTCACATATTTGAAAGGATTATTTATAGTTTTTTGATATTCAAAAGGATATATTATATCTATTCCCATTGTGTTAAAAATTGAAAGGAAAAATCTTTGATGTGGACAAAATGATATGTTTATCCTAGGATTAGATTTTTTCAAATTTTGTTTGTTTCTATTAGTGGCTAGTACTAATTGTTCAAAATGACTTTTTTTGTAAACTGCTGTGCTTTTCTAAAAAATTTTGCCCTGATAACGTGTCATTTGGTGCAGGTTTTTATTTAATTTATGAACCAAAAAATTTCAAAAAAGATTCCCATAATCAATTGGTATTAATAGAAATATTATTTTTGAATTTATTTGAAATACGCATTCCTATATTCAATTAGTTTAAAATGGAAATATTGGTTTTAATAAAAAAAAATCATTCTCATACTCAAATAGTTTCATTGGAAATATTAATTTTAATGTAATATTCATTCTCATACTCGATTATTGTCCAGGGGAAATATTCATTCTAATTGGACCTGGGTAAAATAATTGATTATCATCTCTAGTTATTTATGATTTTGATCATTGATCATCAAAATACATAGTCTATTGAATATTGATATATTTTCACCCTGTTAACAAGTCATAATTTCAATTATGCACATAAATTACCCACAATAAACTATAATAACTGAACATAGCAAGAATATACTTCTATGACACAAAAATAACCTATGGTATTAAAAATTTGGACATGATTTTTATTTAGTATTTAGAAATGAATTTTCTGCACCATTTAGTATTTAGATGATTTCTCGCTTAAAACATTTGATTATTTGGTATATCTGAGCCCCAGCCATAATTCCAATTCTCAATTGATTTTTAATGAAAATATTTGTTTAAATTTAAATATTCATATCCAATCTCCATAAATTTAATTGCAGATATTGGTTTGAATGAACATATTATTTTCAGTAGTAATTCATTCCCTTACTAAATTAATAACAGTGGAAATACTTACTTCATAGCATTGTGCAATTAATTTTAGTAAACTCCTTACTTATTTGATAACAGTGGAAACATCAGATGAAACATTAAATATATGTTTCTGTACAGCTTTGCTATCTCTTTCAATTTCCATATTATTTATCATGAGGCAATATCGTAATTGTAATTAATTAATTGTAATGTCTATTAATCTATATAGATATTCAGTAATTATTATGAGATGATTATGGTGAGATATTTCCTAGCAGGTGTAGTTTAGTAATTAACTATTTACCTGAACAATAATTCACAGCTGTCTTATTCTCTATCTGAATATATATTGATATTGTCGATTTCTTAGTATTTCTATCAATATCTAGTTGCATTAAGTATAGATTATATACAATTTATGTTTAGGAATAGTGTTTAATCAGTGTGTGTTGATGGTGTTTTATATTGATTGTCAGACTTGTGGGTTGATAATGGTGTTTTATATTGTTTGTCAGTGTATATTGATATTGTGTGTCAGTGTGTGTTGATAATGGTGTTTATATTATTTGCCAGTGTGTGTTGATAACAGCGTTTATATTGTTTGCCAATGTGTGTTGATAATGGTGCTTATATTGTTTGTCAGTGTATGTTGATAATGGTGTTTATATTATTTGTCAGTGTGTGTTGATAACAGTGTTTATATTGTTTGCCAATGTGTGTTGATAATGGTGCTTATATTGTTTGTCAATGTATGTTTTAAAAGTTTGACAGTATTTGTTTATAATGTTTTTTTTTATAGTTTGACAGTGTGTGTTGATAATGGTGTTTTTATAGTTTGACAGTGTAAGTTGATAATGGTGTTTTTATAGTTTGACAGTGTGTATTGATAATGGTGTTTTTATAATTTGACAGTGTGTGTTGATAATGGTGTTTTTATAATTTGACAGTCTGAGTTGATAATGGTGTTTTATAGTTTGACAGTGTAAGTTGATAATGGTGTTTTTATAATTTGACAGTGTAAATTGATAATGGTGTTTTATAGTTTGACAGTGTGAGTTGATAATGGTGTTTTTATAGTTTGACAGTGTGTATTGATAATGGTGTTTTTATAATTTGACAGTGTGTGTTGATAATGGTGTTTTTATAATTTGACAGTCTGAGTTGATAATGGTGTTTTATAGTTTGACAGTGTAAGTTGATAATGGTGTTTTTATAATTTGACAGTGTAAGTTGATAATGGTGTTTTATAGTTTGGCAGTGTGAGTTGATAATGGTGTTTTATAGTTTGACAGTGTGAGTTGATAATGGTGTTTTATAGTTTGGCAGTGTGAGTTGATAATGGTGTTTTATAGTTTGACAGTGTTTGTTGATAAGGAATAAACCTTTCAACTTTCTGTTGACTTTTACATTGAATCTCTCCATTGACTTACTTTGTTATCTTTTTGAATTTTCATTTTTGTTTACTGTTGTATAGACTATTTGTGGGGTAAAACATAAATTCTGTCTGTTGGAGATCGCCCAAATTTGAAATAATAACAATGGATATCTTGAAACGTCGAAACTACCAAAAACTACCGGTAATTATTGTGTTATTAAACCTAAATATTCTTTTTGGGACACAAAAAAAAAGAATCAGTTGAAAATAATTTGATAATATTTTAATTATAATTATTTATTTATTTTAATCCAAAACAGAATTTGCTGAAAAATTTATGAAAAAGTTATTTTTGATCATTTCAGGTAATACTAGAGAGTAAGAAAGCAGTAATCAACTATCGACCTACTGAAACAAACCCACCAAATCTTGCCGCTAAAATTGAAGATCTGGGCTTCGAAGCACACATAAAAGATGTTCATCACAGTCCTTCAACTCAGAACATTCAGAATTTACAATCCTCCACCATTGTTCATATTGTTGGTATGACATGTATGTCGTGTGTGCGATCTATTGAAGGCAACATCTCATTATTAGATGGAATTGATCGTATTTCAGTTTCTCTTGAACACATGCAAGCAGACGTACAATACAATCCCGGTAAAATCAGCCCAGTGAAAATAGCAGAAGCTATAGATGATATGGGTTTTGAGGCTAAAGTTAACGAAAAATCAAACGAATCAGAATGTGTGAAAATTCAAGTGATAGGAATGACCTGTCAATCATGTGTCAAAAACATAGAAACCAAGATGGCGACTCAAAAGGGCGTCATAGATATTAAAGTTTCTTTATCTGAAAATGAGGCTACTGTCATGTATCATCCAATAAAAACATCTCCACAAAAGCTTTGTGAACAAATTGAGGATATGGGTTTTGACGCCTCCGTTGCTAAGACTAAAAAAATCAGTATTGGTGATGAATTTGAAGAAATTGCCATCCGAGGATCTAAAGAGGATAGTTGCATGGTGAATATTATAGGTATGACATGTATGAGCTGTGTACGAAATATCGAGGCGAACATCTCAAAGAAATCAGGCATAAAAACAATTAAAGTTTCTCTTGAAAAAGAGGAAGGTTTAGTGACTTTCAACCCAGACATAACAAATCCAGCAGACATAGCAGAAATGATAGAGGACATGGGGTTTGAGGCTAGTGTAGCCTCTAACAAAAACTCTGTGAAAAATGTTACGTCTGCTTCATCAAACCAAAGCAAATCTGTGATATTGAATATTAAAGGTATGACTTGTAACTCTTGTGTAAAAACTATAGAAGGTAAAATTAGTGAACACCCAGGAGTTAAGAAAATCAAAGTTTCTCTAGCTGATCAAGAAGGCCACATAACCTATTTATCAGATGTAACTTCACCAATAATGTTATGTGAAGCAATAGATGATATGGGCTTTGAAGCTTCCATTAAAGGTAAGCTTATAGTATATTTTCAATATTAAACTTGAAAACAAAATTAACAAAATGTGGTTTCTTACAGGTTTGATTAAAAAGCAGTGGTGAAGTCAGCGTAGAAAATTGTACTGCCAATTGTACCCCTATTTCATTTCTAATGAATTCCAAACAATATCTACGTTTTTGCCCCAGAATGCATGTCAATATGTGTCAAAATGCACCAAATCAGTTCTATCTAAAAAAAAAAATTTGAGGGAGAATCCTCAGTGATGCTCCATGGGAGCTTTAGATGTCCTTCCACAGAGATGCTGCATTTTGAATTTTAACCTCGACAGTTGTCCCTTTACGAGGTCATTATTTCCCCTATTAATATTCCCAGTCTCGAGAGGATGGTGCAGCCAAATATTTCCTAAAACAACTCTACCTATAGGCCACAAAACCATAGAGCAGATATCCAAGGTATTTACAGCCAAATCAACTCAATTAATAGATGAATTGAATTATAAATCTGTATGGGTCACATGCCAGTATTTTTGAATGAATGCTTCTAAATTGACATTTTTTCAGATGGTGCACCCTCCTTCAAAAATAAAGAAATGAGTAGATCTGCTAGTCAAATAGACGTCAATAGAAAGAAAGTAGAAATACAGGATGATGAGGATTATGAGAAAGCTTATTTTAAAGTCACAGGAATGACTTGTGCTTCATGTGTCAATGCAATAGAAAAAAATATTGGTAAAATAGATGGTAGGTATATTTTTAGATTTTAGTCTCAGTAGCGTAACTAACTGGTGCAATGTGTAAACAACAGTTTCGAAATGTTGCAAGTTATTTATTAAAGTAATTGCTATCCATATAATTGTGCCCAGCCCAATTATTAAATGCCTCTTAAGGTAAGAAATTTGAATCCTATAGAAAGAGCCTATAGAAAGGGTGTTTGGCTTGTCAATCATTGTTATAATGCATATAATGTCATTGTAAAGGCTTTGTTGGACTGAGCTGTAACCATTATTTCACATGTTACCCATCAGCTTACTGTATATAATCATTATGATTGATATTTTGTAGGTGTTGTAAGTGTTCTAGTAGCATTATTAGCTCAGAAAGCAGAAGTTAAATATGATGCCTCCTATATTTTACCCTCACAAATAGCTAATGCTATCAATGATTTAGGTTTTAATGCCAACATTATTGATGGGGAGGTAGCTGGTCAAGGAACAGTAGAATTAAGTGTGAGTAACTTTAACCTGGTTCTCATTTTTTTGGTGGTTTTTGTGGATCTGCATTGATTGCACCCATTTGTTTATTCACAATTAAAAGTTCTACATAGATAATGTTCAAACCTCATATTTTATAATGATGATCAATAAGGGTTTAAATTTGGGCACTAAACTTCAGTTAGATACAGAATTATTGTCCTTGATCTAAATAATAGTAAAGCTGCAGCTTTTTTCATTCACATCCTTTTTCAGAAAACTTTATTAGGTATTCATTTTTCAATAATTACTTAGTTTAATGGATATAGCATCTTGTATAGAGATTCTATTCTTTAGTCATGGCACCTGGTATGTTCAACTGATGAATATAATCACTTATTAACCAAGTTATAGACTTTAAATTTTATATCCATACTAAGTTGTAGTATTACTTTAATAATGAATTCTTTATTTATATTTTTTTTTTTTTTGGCATTATTTTTATTTATTGATATTCAAATCTAGACAGTCTAGACTAGACTTAAAAGTCCACTTCTTATTTCAGATTCAGGGAATGACATGCTCATCTTGTGTTCATTTAATAGAATCTACTCTACTTAAAAAACCTGGTATTCAGAAAGCGTCTGTTGCCTTGGCAACGTGTCGTGGAAAATTCATGTATGATGTAGAAGTTACAGGTCCTAGAGACATCATAGCTGCATTAAAGGTACAATAAATGTATAGAACCATATTGTGATTAAGCTTATTCATATATATGTATATATAGTCTTTAGTCATGTTCTCAACTTCAAGGAGATAAACTGTTATCAATTAAAATTTGCATACTTTTGGCTGGTTAATCGTATTTTACTGATAAACTTAGTAAATTGGAATATCAGTTTCCAAATAGAAGTGATAGAAATGTAACCAATGGCACATATTTTGATTTTGAAAATATTTTTTACCAAGGGCCATTTTTTATTCCAAAATTTGGGTCATTTTCTGCCAAAAGTACCTTTTGAAGCAACAGGTGCGCCATTTTTTGACAAATAATACTTTCGTCTCAGAAACGGGAATTTTTTAGTGTTCACAGCTCACCGTCCAAATTTGAGCCTTCAAATCTATGTGTGTTCAGAATTATCCGTATTTGAATGTTAAAATGACGACAAGTCAATTTAAGATACTCTGTGATATATAGAAAAGACATCTATAGAAATAGGCAAAGAAATTCCGAGTTTGAGATATTTTTAAAGGAATTATGTGATTTACATATATTTTTAGTACTTCTGAAAACTTTTAACATCTATTCAAGACCAACATGAACCCCCAAAAATGCCACATTTGCCCCTTTAAACCTTTTTCTTTATTCTAGGGTCTTGGTTTTGAAGCATCATTAAGAACAAGTGAAGATGAAGGTTCATCAAGATATGATCTTAGAGATGAGATAAAAAAGTAAGCTTTCAGAAAACGTGCATTTAAATTTCTCTTTTTTTTTCAATCGTCAACAGACATTTACCTTGTAGATAAAAATGTACTCTAAAATTCTGAAATAGCGTGCTTGCAGCAATTCTCAACGAGGCTTTAAATTGAAAAATGTTTTCATTACCACTCACTGTTTCATTTGATTTCAGATGGAGGACATCATTTTTATGGGCACTGATATTTGGTATACCATCAATGATAGTCATGGTTTACTTTATGGTGGCACCTGGTCCTGAACCTGCCCCGACACCACAACCTACTCATATAACATCTAATATTACCACCACACCACATACCACCTTACTGGGTCATGGTAAAAATAAAGTCATGGTAACACCAGGCCTTTCTCTAGAAAATTTACTGATGTTTATACTAGCTACACCAGTTCAGGTTGGTTTTTGTCTTTGATGAAAATCTTAAAGAAAAATAAAATGCATGAATGATAAGAAAAATGTTAAAAAGAAAAGCCAAAATGAAAAAGCCAACACATTTTGTCAAAATGAACAAAATAAAATCAGCTGTTGGTTATGTAGGCGAATATATGTTTTCCAATTTTCATTTCAATTCAAGAATTTCAGAAAAAGCACTTTTACTGGTCTAAATGTTTGCTGATAGATGTCTAATAGAGCAACACTCTGTATCACTTTTCAAAATAGCTGGTAAAGAATCACATAATTTCAATGCAATGAAATAATCTCTTTTATTTTTCTATTTTAGTTTATTGGTGGAAGATATTTCTATATACAGGCATATAAAGCAGTGAAACATGGTGCTACTAATATGGATGTGTTGGTAGTTTTAGCTACCTCTATATCTTATATATATTCAGTTATAGTCTGTGTGGTTGCCATGGCATTAAAAGAAATAACCAGTCCGATGACATTTTTTGAAACCACTCCTATGTTGATGGTGTTTATTTCACTTGGTAGATGGCTGGAACATATTGCCAAGGTAAGCAGTTTGGGCTATTATTTCCGAATGTTCATATTTTATTTCAAGGATTGTAAAGAGGCTTTCAAAATTTTTTATGTGACAGCATCAATTTGCATCAATCCCTTCACTGATAAATGAAACCCATAGAAATGTTTTTGACCAACATCAATTCTGTTAAGTTGTTTTTTGTCTCTCTAAATTTCCGTTTCTAATGAATTGGCTTTCAATTACACCTAAATATTTTGAAGAATGCCCTGCATCTCTTTATAATCCATGAACCCAATTTTGATATTATATCATAAAATATGTGAAAAAATATAGTTGAGAGCTAGAGGGTTAAAATTAGGAATAATAACATTGAAAATTATGGGTGTATGAATATACCAAATTGATTCTATAAACATAACATTACCTTGAAAGGCAATAAAGGAAAACAAAATGGCTGATCCTCAACATTGATTTGTTGTATTTTCGAGGGGAAAAATATACTCTGCTCCGGAATGATTTGGTACTGGGGCTCAGAATTTGAAAAATTAAAGGCCCACAGAACTCATTTCTTGCAATAATGAGGTGCTAAAAACATATCAAAATCTATTTCTTTTTGATTTTGTACAAATGAAATGAATCAATCTCTGCTTAGCTGAAGATGTTTTTGCTGTCCCCACAAAATCCACCCTAACGAACAGGGCTGAATATACTCAAAATATATTTCACTGTACATAGTGTGCACCCCTTCTTGTTAAGGTCTCCTTTTGGGATGGAAAAACTATGTATCATACATGGAAACATACAGTATTTGGTAAAGATTCTGTTTATTTGATATTTCAGGGTAAAACTAGTGAAGCATTAGCTAAGTTAATGTCATTACAACCTGCTGTAGCTCTATTAGTAGATGTTGATAAAGAATATTCTTATATTTCAGGGTAAAACTAGTGAAGCATTAGCTAAGTTAATGTCATTACAACCTGCTGTAGCTCTATTAGTAGATGTAGATAAAGAATATTCTTATATTTCAGGGTAAAACTAGTGAAGCATTAGCTAAGTTAATGTCATTACAACCTGCTGTAGCTCTATTAGTAGATGTAGATAAAGAATATTCTTATATTTCAGGGTAAAACTAGTGAAGCATTAGCTAAGTTAATGTCATTACAACCTGCTGTAGCTCTATTAGTAGATGTAGATAAAGAATATTCTTATATTTCAGGGTAAAACTAGTGAAGCATTAGCTAAGTTAATGTCATTACAACCTGCTGTAGCTCTATTAGTAGATGTAGATAAAGAATATTCTTATATTTCAGGGTAAAACTAGTGAAGCATTAGCTAAGTTAATGTCATTACAACCTGCTGTAGCTCTATTAGTAGATGTAGATAAAGAATATTCTTATATTTCAGGGTAAAACTAGTGAAGCATTAGCTAAGTTAATGTCATTACAACCTGCTGTAGCTCTATTAGTAGATGTTGATAAAGAATATAATATTATAAATGAAACCAGTATTAAAGTTGATCTTGTACAGCGTTCAGATATTCTCAAGGTGAGTTGCATTCAAAACTTTCCTGTTTCTTTGTCTAAACATATCTCCAAATCAATCAGCAAATAGATTTCTTCTTTTAAACAAGTAAAGTACAGAGTAGACATAACAAATTAGCTGGTCCTTGGTCAATCTTCTTGGCATTGATCTTTCCCAGATTATCCCTAATCATTTTCAGCTGGTTTGGCTGGAATGACAATGGAAAATAGCTTATTCATGCTCATTGTACAAGCTGACTGAGATTAGAACGCACAACCGCGATTTTTGGATATAACACAACACACGTTGTCATTTAAAGAATTTATGCTCCAACGAACTGTGCTACAAAACCTCAAATTGGAGATGTCTACAGTCAAAATGGAGAAGGATTTAATGGCTAATTTCTGTAAATTTGTACAGGTTGTACCAGGAGATAAGATACCAGTAGATGGTAAAGTTGTTTATGGACATTCTACTTGTGATGAATCTCTAATTACTGGTGAAAGTATGCCAGTAGTTAAACAAGTTGGTAAGTCAAAATCATTACATCCTTTATTCTTTCCTTAATTTGAGCACAGTTTTAGAACCAGATTTTAAACTTCTACTGTTATCCTACAGAGCCTCTGTGGAAAACCATTTTCAGGGTTTCCCTAAGCACTCATTTGGCCTTACTCCATTCCTTACATTTTAAAATTTTCTCACCATAGATTTGTCATTTTAGACAATCAAGATTTGGGTTGATTTCGATTTCAAAAATGATCAGATAAGACGGCAATGATTACATATTGTTATAAATTGTGAAAAAAAAGTGGTGATCGATGTACATGTTCTAAACTGGTGTTAATCGAATTGTATGCACAAAATTGACCCTTCTATTTGTTTCGCTTTGAATTCTGTTTTGTGTTTGGTGCTTGTTAAACACATTCTTGTTTTTTTTACCTTCCGGCTGATGAATCCTCAAAGAGACAAAGTCACCAATCGAGTACCACCTGGTATACAGATAATAAATATTTAATTTCTTATCCTATCACAAGATTTTAGCTTGTAGACCTTATTTTGATAGTCTCTGCTCTCATCAATTTCAGGTTTTTCTGTGATAGGTGGTTCTATTAATCAAAATGGTATGATATTGATAGAAGCTACTCATGTTGGAGCGGAAACAACTTTAGCTCAAATTGTTAAACTTGTTGAAGAAGCTCAAACTTCAAAGGTACGGATAAAATGTTGTCATTTGATGGTTCTTTATTTGATATTTAGCTGATAAAATAGCAGGATATTTTGTTCCGGGTGTAGTAACTGTATCATTATTAATAGTTACTGTTTATATTGTAGGCACCATTACAGAATCTAGCTGATAAAATAGCAGGATATTTTGTACCTGGTGTAGTAACTGTATCATTATTTATAGTAACTGTTTATATTGTAGGCACCATTACAGAATCTAGCTGATAAAATAGCAGGATATTTTGTACCAGGTGTAGTAACTGTATCATTATTTATAGTAACTGTTTATATTGTAGGCACCATTACAGAATTTAGCTGATAAAATAGCAGGATATTTTGTACCAGGTGTAGTAACTGTATCATTATTTATAGTAACTGTTTATATTGTAGGCACCATTACAGAATTTAGCTGATAAAATAGCAGGATATTTTGTACCAGGTGTAGTAACTGTATCATTATTAATAGTAACTGTTTATATTGTAGGCACCATTACAGAATTTAGCTGATAAAATAGCAGGATATTTTGTACCTGGTGTAGTAACTGTATCATTATTTATAGTAACTGTTTATATTGTAGGCACCATTACAGAATTTAGCTGATAAAATAGCAGGATATTTTGTACCTGGTGTAGTAACTGTATCATTATTTATAGTAACTGTTTATATTGTAGGCACCATTACAGAATTTAGCTGATAAAATAGCAGGATATTTTGTACCTGGTGTAGTAACTGTATCATTATTAATAGTAACTGTTTATATTGTAGGCACCATTACAGAATCTAGCTGATAAAATAGCAGGATATTTTGTACCAGGTATAGTAACTGTATCATTATTTATAGTAACTGTTTATATTGTAGGCACCATTACAGAATTTAGCTGATAAAATAGCAGGATATTTTGTACCAGGTGTAGTAACTGTATCATTATTAACATTGACTATATGGACTATAATTGGTTATGTTGATGTTAAATTAGTTAAACCAGATTTTAATGTAAGTATTCAGCTATTTTCGCAGTTTTGAAATCATCCAATACAAACAAATAACCCAAATACTAATGATCCGAACTGCAAATCGAAACCTGAAATCCAAACACTATTTTGCAAAACATTGGTAGTGGTCAATGAACTTTTTACATGAGGAAGTATATCAATCATAAGCAGGTTGAATGACGAGCAAGGATGCATTATGATTTTAAAACTATTTCCATTTTTTATTTCAGCCAAATGGTCACATAACAAATCATGAAGTGATATTTCAGCGAGCGTTTCAGTTCGCTATAACTGTATTAAGTATAGCATGTCCATGTGCATTAGGTTTAGCTACACCAACAGCTGTCATGGTAGGAACTGGAGTAGGGGCCACTAATGGTATATTAATTAAAGGCGGGGAACCCCTGGAAACTACTCATAAGGTAAGAAGTAACATAAATTTTCAACCCTTTCGAAATAAAATTAAAATGAAATCAGCAGTAATTTTGACTAAAATAGAGGTCATTTTGTCCAGAGTGTTTGGGACCAGTTTGACTTTGGGAACAGTTTAAACCATTTTGAAATAAGATGAAATCAGCAGTCATTTTTAGGAAAAATTGACAAAAATCTGGGCCATTTTAACAAAAATAAGGGCCATTTTAACAAAAATAAGGACCATTTTGACAAAAATAGGGGCCATTTTGACAAAAATAGGGGCCATTTTGACAAAAAAAAGGGGACATTTTGACTTTGGGAACGTTTTGAGTTAAAGCCATTGTGGTTAGGGGCCGAATAACCCCTGGAAGCTGAAATTGAGTTCAATGAAGAGAATGAAGCAAAATTTATTTCAAGACCAAAAAACTGTTTGGGTTTCTATTAGAAGATTGAAATTTTGAATTGTATCTTTGTAGTTGTAAATAACAATTGTTTTACATTGTAGTTGAAGTATGTGGTATTTGACAAGACAGGGACAGTAACTCATGGTGAACCTAGGGTATCTCGGGTGGCTATGTTTGTACAGAGTAAAGTGTGTTCCTTCATAGAAATAATGGCTATAGCTGGCTCTGCTGAAAATAGCAGTGAACATCCCATAGCTACTGCTATTGTTAAATATGCTAAACAAGTAAGTTTGCTGTACGATTATTATAATTAAAAAAAAGTATAAACTCAATAGGTCATGTATAGTTACTCCCAAATTGAAACTAACGATGCTTGTTAAGGTATGGAAATATTTGTATCCAATTATACTTTATTACATAGAATCTGTTATTTCATTAGTCATTTAGTTTCATAAATAGTAGATCTATTGAAGGCAAAGCTTGAAATAATTCACAACAACAAAATGTTGCATTCTTTTGCTGCTTAAGTGGGCAAATAAATTTCCACTTTTGCAATAGATTAGTAGTTCCAACTCCTTTTCATAAAATTTGATGCATTTCTAGTATTGTTAAACCCTGCCTCCTCAGCAATAGTTACTTTTCAATCCAAATATTTCTTATGAAGTGATGAATTTTGACCAATCAAAACAGCATTTACCATACAATAGAATCCAAATATTTCTTATGAAGTGATAAATTTGGACCAATCAAATCAGCATTTACCATACAATAGATGTTGTTCATACTCATATGATTTTCAAGAGTGTTGCATCTTTTACAAAACAAACAGTTAACTAACCAAGTAGAAACTTGTTGATTGGTTGCTTTGAAAATCATGTGACATCATGAATATTTATATATATTATAATGTTTTGCTTTCAGACATTAAAGCTAGAATCATTAGCTAAAGTATCAGATTTTCAAGCTGTACCTGGTTGTGGTCTGAAATGTAAAGTCTCTCAGATTGAATCTATATTAGAAAATGTTGATAAAGAGGCTGTGAAAAATCGTAAAAATCAGTTTGGTAGTTTACGTATTAAAATCGATAATCCTATATTTGGTGTAGAAGAAGATTTATCATCTACCCATATTGAAGGTTAGTTCACTTTTTCGGTGATCCTCGTGACTTAATGAGTAATAGCCAAAGGAATTGGTAGCTATTCATCTGTTGGTGTCTTATATCCATGAAAGAAAAAAAGGACCAGAAAAAGACTTTATGCAATGTTAATCAAAAAAGTTACAACCAAAGAAAGTTCATAAAACAAGGATATCTGACATTAATGTTAAAACCTAAATAATTTCACAATGTATATTGAAATTAATACATTTTTAACCATTTGAAGACAGGACTTAAAATTCCTCTTTTTTTTGAGGCTGGTACACAAATCCACTTTCAGAATTTTAGGTTCGTAAGGTTTTAATATGGTTGATATCATAATTATCAGAATTCATAACCAGAATTTCACTGTATTACCTATTTACAGGCACACAAGCGGTCTTGGTGGGAGACTTTTGTCTCCAAGTTGAATCTTGAGTAAAATCACATGTGTGCCCGTGCTTCCATGACAAGATTATCGTGTCGCCGATAAGATTTATATATCAAACAAATTGGATAATTGTCTCTGATAGTTTTATCGTCTGCAAGACAGATCGTCATCCAATCAGATTCATTTTCCTTTCAATTACATGATCCGCAGTTGATTATTAACAAGGTGGAAACGACCGACTGGAGATTTTTGTCTCCTCGTGTGCACGTACCAGTCAAGACAAGACTCTAATCAGCGACAAAAGTCTCCAACCAAGACCGCTCATGTGCCTGCACCTTTAGGGATTTGCAATATAAACCATTCATGCTTTTAAAAATATTTCATTTTAGATGTAGGTAATGATGGAGCAATGGCATCTAAAACCTATGATGTACTGATTGGAAACAGAGAATGGATGAATAGAAATGGTCTAGATGTTACACCAGAGATGGATCAAGCTATGAATGAACACGAAGAACAAGGTCATACAGCTGTCTTGTGTGCTATAGATAATCGAGTGGCAGCCATGTTGGCTGTAGCAGACACAGTTAAAGCTGAAGCCCATCTGGCAGTCCATTGTTTAAAAGAAATTGGTTTAGAGGTTATTTTGTTAACAGGAGATAACAAGAAAACTGCTAAAGCCATAGCACAACAGGTAGTTATTGTTGAACTTTCAAATCTATTATCTGTAAACATCTTTCAATATGCAATAGTTTCAAAATAATTATTCTTTACTGTATTGTGCACATCAGGGATTGTTCATTTAGGTGCAAATATTAAAGCTATGATGACCAGTTTGTGTATATCGATAAAGTAGAAGTTAGAAGCCATTGAAATTTCTGCCCTGGACATCGTATCTTGTCATTTCCCACCTTTAAAGTTTGAGTGCCTAAATTTGAGATTTGGTTTTGGGATGAATATATAAAAACAAAGCTGGACATTTTGCTGCTTCAATGAGACATGAATGATAATACCAAAGATCAAATATAGCTCTGTTTCTATTGGACGTTATCTTCAGTTCAGTTTATTTCAATATATTTGTAGGTTGGTATAAAGAGAGTGTTTGCTGAAGTCTTACCCTCACATAAAGTAAAACAGATAAGAATCTTACAGACTAGTGGTTTAAAGGTTGCTATGGTAGGAGATGGTGTGAATGATTCTCCTGCTCTAGCTCAAGCTGATGTTGGTATAGCTATTGGTACTGGTACTGATGTAGCTGTTGAAGCAGCTGATATTGTTCTCATTAAGGTAAGGACCAAAGAACCATAATAATATTCTGGTCTTAAATCAAACATATGGTGGTTATGGGTTCTAATCTTCTGTCGGCACGTGAAAGTCTTTCTTTATTTCTCTCGACATGGGAAAGATCAATATCTAGAGGCAATACCAAGGACCAGCTTGTAGATAGGATTCCATGAACCTTAGTTGTTATCTTTGTGATAGAAAGAAATTTGCAAGGCATGAACCAAAGAGACTTTTTGACTACACCACTTAAAATACAGAACATGTACCGTATATTTCCGAATATAATGCGCACACGTGTATTATGCGCACCCCTTCCTTTTCCCATTAAAATCAGGAAAAATCCATTTATATATATATATGAATATATTTTTCTCTGTAGAATGATCTATTAGATGTGTATACAGCTATCAAACTATCTAGAGCTACAGTACGAAGAATCAGAATGAATTTTTTAGCTGCATCTATTTATAATTTAGTTGGTATACCAATAGCTGCAGGTATGTGTATTATGTTTTCTATATTATTCAATTTCGGGAGTCTGCGTGCATATTACATGTTACATGTTACATGAGTAGAAAGGTACAGTATCCAGAATATGTTATTATTCCAGAGTACACAAGTGAATTAACAGAAATTGTGCATATCACATCAATGAACAGATAACTATTTATATTCATTATTTTGATGATCAAGATCTATTTTGGCCTACTATATCCACGGGCTAGTGATTTTCATTTTTTAACACATATCAGAATATCTTTCGAGAAATAATACAAAAGACATGGCTTTGTTAGGTTCATAATTAATGTATATTTGTTAATTCTAGGTGTTTTTACTCCATGGGGTTTTCAACTTGTACCTTGGATGGCATCAGCAGCAATGGCTGCATCATCAGTATCTGTTGTTTGTTCATCATTATATCTTAAAACGTAAGTCATTTTCATAATATTACATGTCTAATATCTGAGCAAAGCGAAATGTTTTTGAAATTTTTACTATATTTTTTAAGAGAATTGGAATGTCCGCCTTAAAATATTACTGGTAGTCTTAGAATGTCTCTGCGTTGATGAAATGTACTTTTACATTAAAAAGAAACACAATTCTCTCCTAGAAATTTCATCCACAAAAAGTCTCAATTTTTGGCTGAAACATGTCCTCCGTAAAAACAAAATTTGAAAACATAATCTGTGCTCAGGTTTATAAACGCAAAGACGTTCTAAGACTATCGATACTATTTCAATTCTGATAAAAATAATGAGAAAAATTTAAACAATTTTTACCTTATATATTCACAAGTTTAAGCATATGCTTAAGTATGACACTTTCTGCAATTGAAGATCTCAGTTCATGAACTTTAAATATTCTGTTATCAACAGCTTCTTGAAATAATGACCAGTGAATCAGTTTCTGGAAAAACTTATTGAAGTGTTAAAGAGAAAAACTTCCCCTTTGTTCATTTATTTCTTCTTTATTTTTGTGCTTTGTTATCTAATGATGCTGAATCTCAAATTTTTGGACTTTGAAAATTATTTTAGATTCAAGAAACCAGATCGAAGGAAGATGATGACACCTCAATATCATACTAAATATTATGAAGATCAGAACTCAGACAATATCTCTATACATCGTGGTATTGATGACAATCCTGGATTTGGACGTAACAGTAAACAGGGTAGTATGCTCTCCAGGTTGAGTGGACGTTTAAAACCAGGTACACCAGATCAAAGGAGTTTATTAGAAGCAGGACAAGTTGGTATTGAAATGGATGATGTAGTAGATTCTATTTAACCAGGAGTTGCATGATATTAGGGTTTAAATGGTTGATTTGATACCAAAGTACGATTAGTAACTGTGCTATGTCTATGCTTCTTGAAATGGATAGTGGTTGGCAAACCAAGTCTGGAAGAGGCATTAACTGCATTGGAATTTTAATTGGATAGAATGGCATCATTAAGATCAATATATGTCATATTTGGGTTCTACCGGTTCAGCAGAATAATTTTATAATTGTAGCATATCTATTTTGTGGTATTTATTGAAAATTTTGCTATTTTACTTATAAGAAGCTTAGTAATGTAATTTAAAGGCATCCCAGTTGTGTTTGGGTATTGAAAATTTGGGAATTATATTTACTGTATTTGCAAGTGTCCCTATATTGAAAGCTTTATATAATATGTATGCACCAATGTGTCAAATCTTTTCTAAAGTTTGTGTCATCTGTCAAATCTGAAAATAAACTGATTGGATGAAGGAATTGGGTAAAGTCACCATGGATAATTCATCAATTTTAATCAGTGTCAGATAACTGACAAACTATATTGTTTTATCTCACCCTTACCATCAGTTCTGGGAAGGCAGTAGTGGTTATAGACTCTTGGAGATCTTGGAGACCTGACAGCCGAACCAGAATTAAAAAATAGTCTTTGAGAGCACAGATATCCAGACTTTATGCTTTTTCAAAAAATAGATATTTACAACACCCTTAAAAGGAATATTTACTTTCATGTATATCAAAAGAAACCTGAAATATGTTGGTCCTCACAGTTTAACACTGTGCAATATTATTGCTCTGCAATTGATGTATTGAGCACTGTTTTAACAATGATAACACTTTGTTATTGTCCTGTTATGTATATTTATTTACGTTATTTTATACAGGGAGAATATGGTCTCAAATCCTCCTCTTTCCATAATTTAAAGTTTAAGAGGAAAGGAAATATTCATAGTTTGTATTTTAAAGACTTTTTATCAATTGTTATTCAAAGTTTCCATCTTAAGATAGTATTTTTGCATAGAATTCCTGATTGAACACAACTCCCTTATCTAAATTTGTCTTGTTATCCTACTAATATTTTAATCAAAAAAGTTATATTAGTATTTTTTGTTTAGAAGTAAAGTTTTGTAAATAAAATCAGAGCTTATTTTAGTAATGAAATTTTAAGATTTATTTTATATGGTGTACTTAAAGAGATGTATCAAAAGTGTTTTAGATTGGTTGTCAGATTGGATTGAAATATTTTAAGATTTTTGAGTTTGTTACTTAAAGGTTTTTGACCTTGTTACTTGTTATTTAATATAATATTATAACTTGCTTCAAATTTCTATTTTAAGATAATCTTAAAGTTACTGACACTTTGACTCAGTTTTGTTATTATTTTTCTGTCGGTCTATATAATCTATCCAGATTTATACCAAGGTCCAAACTGATGATTTCCAAGCGATTTATAGCATACAAGTACGTGCCAATCTACGACCAATCAAAATCAAAGTTACAAGCGAGTATCAGCAGTCTAATAATTTCATTGATAATATCGCTACATCGTTTCGCTATCCCACAATTCATAATCAATATTTAGACAAGGATTCTGCAGGACACACTGTGATTGGTTGAAATGAAAGTCCACATAATGTGACCTTGGTATAAATCCTTTTAGATAATACTAAAATTAGATAGTTTGCAATATCAGCATCCGCTGGAAGCGAACGTTAACTTGTCATCTACCAACCAACTAACCACTAAAATTAGATTGGTTTCTGATGTATAAAGAAGAGAATGGAGGAGACATGTAAGAATCAAATCATTTTAGTCATTATCACTTGTATATTACATCATATTATACAAAACTAGTATTGTACATCATGTATATGATATTTTCTGTATTTATTCATCACTCCATTATACAGATAATGTATGTTCATGAAAGGAACAGTGAAATATTTTATAAAATAATGCAATAAAACCATTTACTTCTTTAGAAAAATTGAATTTTTACAAAATGAATGATGCTTTTAAGTTTATTGTTCTTAAAACAATTAAAGATAGTGGACCACAGCCATATACGCCCACCACGGCATGCAGATGGTAAATATTCAAGATTTTGGGACAAGGGCAATAACTCTGCTCCTAACGGTTGAAAATGGCTCAAATTCGAACTTGATCTTCGTTTTATGAATATGTATACACATACCGAATTTCAATCTAGTTTTTAGAGCGTTTACAAGCAAATGTTGACGGACCAACGGGCAGACAGGGGTGCCGACAATATACGTCCACATAGAGAGATGTGGGCCTATGGATGGAAGATTCAATGTTTCAAAATCAATCATTTCAAAAACAACATGCAATTTGGCACAAGTTTTGCTAAATGAATACTATTTTTTGGACTCAGATTTGAGAGAATCGAACATGCAATGTGTAACAGAACAGTTTCTAGGCCAGTGCTTCTCAACCTCAATGAGATCATTCCACCCTGAAAGTGTTCCTCCAAATCTATTATCCCTCCCCCCAAAAAATTAGTCATTTCAAATTTATTTCACTAGAAAAATATATTAACCATGAATGGATATAAAATCATACTACACATATAGTTCAATGTAACCCTTGTGCTGAAAGTTCGTTCACAATTTTCTGTATGTCAATCGTAGATCACCTTGCCTACAAACTCCTTACACGTTTGACGATTCCTCCCCCTGACAATAATTCCTCCCTGTGGTCTTCCAATTCCTCCCTTCATGAAGGAATTCCTCCCCTGTCGAGAAGCACTGCCTGGGTATCAGGTCAGAAACATGCATAAAATGTTATGGTGTTGGATCTTCTCTTTGAACTGAGACTAGAAGGATTAGAACTCAGTTTCCAGTTGTCATTCTATGTAAACATGACAATCTGCTCTGTCTTCAGGTAGATTTGATAATATGAGCATGAGTTGATAGGTTGATGATGTCCACATCTTTGAAAATTAAACTTAATAAACATTTTCCTTTAATATCAAAATATTTCTCTACAGTTGATCTTACAGTGGGATATTGGCATGTACATGAAAAAAAAACTGTCTCTGAAAATATTCAGGCCCTTAAGACTTTGTCCGAAACATCTGCCTCTATTCCAGCCTCTAATTGAAAAGGGGATGTACTATTCTACAAGTACTTTAGAAAAATAATTATAGTCTCTTAACCGAAAATAGTGCATCCATGTGACCGTATGATTTTAAAAAACATGGAATTTTGACCACGTCTATTCAAATATAAGCAAAACAAAAAACTGTTGGTAATATGAGACTTCAGTAACCAAAAATTTATATACATAGAGGATCTTGATTATATAATATGAAATTTATGAAATTAGTTACCGTCTTTTATATTTCCCGAGCTTTGGCCAGTCTTATTTCATTGTAAGAACAAAGATTTACCTTAATTGATATTGCTCAATATTTGTATTGTGTATGCAGCAAGTGATTTTGTGTTCTTTAGATAACCCAAGTTATTTTAAGAGAATTGCGAAGAACATCATTTTTTTCTCATTTTCCCTGTCACTGCCCTAAAACTTAAAACATTTCAGCGTCTTCGTGCTGTAAGTTGAAGAAACTCGACATGTTCCAGTAAGTAATGAAGGGAGACAAACTATGATGTTTTAGATTATAATGTAACAATAATAAAATGAGCTGAAGGCAGCTAATGTTCCATTTTAAATAAAGTTGCTTTAAATTCAACCGTATTACCGCCCATTGCCGTCAGTCCTGCTCCCAGACTCCTGAGGCCCCTGTGGACGCCTACTTGTCTTTGTAGAAGGACTACGTTTTTTACCTAGAACGCCTAGAAACCTTGAGATTTTCAGTAATTTGCATTGAGTTCATTGCATGCTAAATAAAAACCAACTGCGCCGTCCAGTCTACATTGTTCTGCAGTCCGATTCAAATTCAATCTTTTCTTTTAAATTTCTAATTATTGGTATTGATGTAAATAATTAACATGGGTCTTAAAATCGAGATAAGTATAAATTCGTTTTTCTTCAAATGAAAGCTACATCTGAATTTTAAAATACATGTAAAGTAGTTTTGTTTCAAATCGGCGATCAATTATAGCAATAAAAAGAGTCAAACTGTTACAAAAAATGCAGACTTCATGGCTTCAGCTAAGCAGATGTTCGAGACATAGCCAAATTATTGTTAATGAGTTTAAGCATAGGCTTAGGCATAGCACACATGCTTGATCTTGAAATTTGTTTCAAGGTCACGGTTTTACCTAATGTATACCACATTATATGCTTCACTGTAACTAGATGTGATGCTTCATATTTGAAGGCAATACTTATTAACATTAGATGGTAATAAATACTTTTACCATCTTTCGGTAGAGAATTTCATCAACTCCGCGAGGCTGCGCTATCTCTCACGAGCAGCCGACAAAAGTTCCAAAATGGCGGAGGAGGAAAGAAGTTAGAGGTGAGATACAAACTTCGTTTATTTGTTTTTCTCGTGTAAATGAGTGTTTTCCTTTCGAAAAGTTGGATAAAACGGACGAGGAATGTATGGTTTAGTTATTCTTTGTAACTTTTGAAAACTTTTGCTGTGGATTATTCGAATGGATAGGATTTGATTTTCGTAATGACAAAAGTCTATGAGTAATGAACGGTAAGGCAAAACGGTGGAATCTCATTACCATGTATATCAAGGTTAGAGGTAAAAGTTTGCCAATAGTATTTATATACGAAGTAAATGGTTTATTTTGTGAAAATTGCTCGTAAAATAAGTTGATGGGGGTTTTATAAAGGAATAAAACAATGAATTTCATGAGGAAAACACTTTAGATAAAGCTATAAAGTTCTGTGCCGTTTATTTGTGTTATTGTAGGCTTGGCTATATTGGGATTAGAGCAGTATTGCACAGTAGTTCAAACATAGTTACTTTAAATTTGTAATAGGCAGCAGGTTATAGTATAGAGTAGGATTAAGTGTATAACATTATAAAACATAAGATATCAAAGCAGTTTTCTTATCTTATGTGTATATAAAT